CAATATTCTGCACTATTCGTGCAGGTTGGTTTTTTTATTGATGTCAGCGAGCCAGATCCAATCTGACTTGGGATTGATGGCGAGCCAAGCCCAGTGAATCTGTGAGCGGTTGTTGGAAGCGGTGTGGCCTACCTTTGGACCTGCCTACAGAGGACGGGTGATTTGAAGAATCCTGCTGAATACACACTGATCTGATCCAGATAAGAACCAGTACACTATTAGCTCTACCCGGGTAGAAGAGCCATAGCAGTACATACACACACAGAACTGAACTGATTTGAATTCTCTTGATCAAAGGGAAGAGACTATTTCTATTTGTGTGGTAAAGAGCCCTATTTTTTATTTTCATTCCTTTTCATATTGTTGGCACAATTTAATGTAAATGTTGATGAACACTGCTGGCAATAAAATTGTAAAATCTTCAACTAAAATCTAACTCTTCCCAGAGTTATTCACGACATACCACTTTACGAACCTAGGAAGATGTTAGTGTCTCTGTTCTTGGTATGATATAGGACTAGAGGTGCTACATATATATATATATATACCCTACTTTTATAATATTAAATATTTACATATTTATGTTAGCTTTTTGCTTCTTGCGATTTATGATTCGAAATGATAAAAGTAGGGTAGACATGTGGAGATTATCCGGCTGAACAAAACGGGTTAGGGTTAGGTTAGGGTTAGGCCTTTCCCTGGGAACATAGGGCCTAATCTTGAAGACAAATTTGAAATGTGGGACCATTGGGCTGTGGGACCATCGGGCTGTGGGAACATAGACACGCTCCCCTGCAAACAAGTAAGCTCGTTCCCAAAGGCCTATCTTTTCACACCAGTAAATTGGGGTGGAGAATGGCTAGGAAACCCTCACCAGCATTTGACAAAGGCTGAGGAATTTTAATAAATATTTGTCAATACTAAGAACTGCTAGATTGTGCTGCTGTATTGATGCAAGGAGAATAAAAACATACCATGTGGTCCAGCTGGAGTTTCATCTGCCTCATGATCACTGCCTCTGTCCTTCTTTCGGACACTTCATCTTTATTCCTCACATAAATGTCTTCATGTACTCTTTTTTTATTTTCCTCTTTCTGTTCGTCCTGATCACTTCTCAGATATGTCTGTTTTGTTTGTTGAGTTACTCCAGCTACTTCGGCCTGCAAGAGTCTACTTGTGAAAAGCACTGGTACAAATGCTTGTATAACTTTACAGTTTAGGGCCATGTAGCTAATAAGTAGCATATAATAAATATAATATCTAAAGTATTTATCGAACGCACAAGCGTTTTATTAATATTTTGTTTCAAGCTCTCGTCTTTAGTAAAAACAAAACTAGTCGAAGGGGAAATGCTCCCAGGGGAAGCTAATTCACCTTCGGATGCGGGGCAGTAGCTGCGTTTTTAACGGGCCTAAGAGATTATATTTTAAATGATTAACTTTTAATGAATGTACTGCTTGTTTTGTTGCTTGAGAAGCTTGTGGACATAGTGTAGGTTTGTTTCTAAAAGTACAGTTTTAGGAACACAAAAGTTAGGCACAATTCGACGGGATCGAGAGATAATTTATTTCTCGCCATTGACTACAATACATATTTTTTCCGAAATAAGGTCCCATGGAGGTCCGCCGGAAAGGGAGGGGCTTCGGCTCTCTATAATCAATCAAGGGGGCGAAGCTATTTGGCCACAGGCCCTAACACTGAGTTTGTGCGAGGTTTGTCTGGCTGGAAAGATTTGAATGCATTTATATTTTTCTTATAGGACGAAAAGAGACAGCGGTTTGTTTCTTACCTTTGGGTTGATATGGTGAGTTCTCTATGATGAAGAAGATCTTTAAAAAATGGAATTGCTTCACACCTGTCACTGTTCAAAAACCCAAATGAATTTAGTTTGAAATGCAATTCCTCCCTTGTTCTCCTCTTTAGTCCTGGGAAAATGACGACCTTAATTGGAACCCTGATAAATTCTGTGGTATTGAGAGGATTTATCTTCCCACTAAATAAAGCCAGATCTAACAATTGAAGAGATGTAAGTTGCAAAGTGTGGATGCTCTCACCCTCCCAAAGCCACATACACTGACAATAATAACAGTGATAGAACATATTGTTTGTTAAATACCCTTTGATTGTTACATTTCCCAGATTGTTATATTTTGTATTTTAATCTGTAGCTTCCCAGTAGTGTTCCTTAAATATACATATCACATTTTTACATTTTGATGCTATTTTCTTGAGCTTCTAAAAATCGACTTTGTTCTCATACAGGACAGAGAAGGATAAAACCCTCCCAAGTTTTCAACTCATTGTTGAGAATAACGGTACGGTCATGCTTAGGAATGATATGGTGCTGGTCAGTACCTGTAGGATGCATATTTACCAATTTCCCTTCGACGTTCAGAGCTGCACCCTGTCATTCAAGTCTGTCACACACTTGGGTGAGCCTGTAACCTCTTCATTTGTTTTCATTTAGTTTGAATCCAACAGTTTAATGTCACCTGAAAACAAATACTCTACATTCCCTTGATGTTAAGGTGCAAAGAAACCTCACATTTTATATTTACCTCCCACCTCAGATGAAGATTTGCAGTTTGTTCCGGAGAAAGATCCCATGTGGAACGCTGACTGGTCTCGCAGGATTATGCAGGTGGCTGTTTATCGACATGACAGTCAACAACAAAACTGTTGACAATTTTGGTTTCAACCAAAGCATGTTGGTTTACACTGTAAGTATTTCTTGAGAATGAAACACAGAGCTGCTCAATGCTCTGTTTATCAAGTAAGTAAAAGTATTTAGTACTGTAGTTTTTCCAATTAGTGAGTCTTGACATGCTATGTCATTCTTTCTTTTTTTTAAACATACACTGTTAGTTTTGTCTTATACTTTGGACATACTCTACTATATGTTTTTTTTCATACTTGCAACTGACTATACCATGTTGTTTTTAATTTACTATATTTTCGACATACAAAACAATGTTTTCTTTCCCATAACTTTCAACATACTTTACTACGTTGTTTTTTTCATATATTTTCTATACTAAAAACACCTTTTTTACATTCATACAGCTAAGTGCATAATCTATCTTCTGTCACTCAAAACAGAGTTTAGGAGCAATGCTGGGTTTTATTTAGCAAAGTCTAAGGTTGGGTTAGTTTTTAACACCTGACCCTTGAATGTCTTTTCACAGATCAATATGAAGAGGCGTTCTGCCCTCTACATCGCAAACGTCTTAGTGCCCATCCTGTTCTTCTTCTGTCTGGACTTGGCCTCCTTCCTGATCTCACACTAAGGGGGCGAAAAGCTCAGCTTCAAGGTCACTGTGCTGCTCGCTGTCACTGTTATGCAGCTTATTCTCAACTACATTTTACCTGCCTGTTCAAACAGGATCCCACTTATAGGTAAAGCAGCACAGGGTTTGTTTCTGTGCTGGTGTACTGGGTGGTTATTGGTCAACAATAATGATGTCGCCATTCCTTCTTCAGTGGTCTACTGCATTGGAATCTTTGGTTTAATGATGCTGAGCCTCATGGAGACGATTTTGATCATGCATCTGGTCGAAAAAGACAATGAGGCAGATAAAGACCAAATCCTGAGTAACGACTTTGGGGACAAACTGGAAAAAGACAGCTTCCAAAAAAGTTCTAGAGGTGAGATTCCCCTCAACAGGTTTGGACGTTAATCTATATTTAAATCATCTTAATACATACATTTAAATGCACTAACCATGTTTTCTTCAAACTCTTTAAGTCGCTGGCTACTGGACAAGAGTGTCGAAAACCATCAACAAAGTTTTCTTTATTTTCTATTTAATAGCTGCCACTGTGTTTTTCCTATGTCTGTATTTTCTTTGGAGAAAAGTAGAAAAATGGTGAAAATAATTATAAATAACTCCTAATACTGACAGCAAGTAGTGCTGCTGGTCAATTTGTGTAGAGGCAAAGATGAGATTACAAAGTGTTTGCCCTCACAATGTTGGTGCCAGTCATTTGTGTCCTACCCTCTCCAAACTTGTCTATAATCACCTAAACAATAGTTTTCCTGTTTAAGGTATATGTGGCCGTTCAGGTAGTATTTAATCCTTCAGGGGTGTTACAACTACACACAAATTACATTTGCATGTTTTAATTCAAACAATGGTTCGCATCAAACACACATTGTATAATATTAGTCAAAAACAAAAAAATGTCACTAAGTAGTACATGTATGCCTTTGCTACAAACAAAGTCCACAAATACAACTATTTTTAAATATTAAGCTTGCAGGTGCAACATTGAAAGTGGTCCAACAGAAATATATCTTTACTGTGTACTTTAATATATTGGGTATAATCCATTCAACATTTTTAAATATGTAATAATGACAGATTTAAAATATTTAAGACAAAAACAAAAAAGCATTCAATTTAGTTCCAGCAAACCCATATAATACATTCTTACGTTCTCACTACTTTTTTCTGCAGGAGTCTTATCAAAGCTCGATTCATAATGCTGCCTCCCCTTTAGCCAATGCTCTAACATGAACGAAAATTCATTTCTTAAAATCTTTTCAATGGAGGCGAGAAACAGGAGTGATCAACTCATTGTTACGAGTACGGGCCACAAGTTAGACTATAGTCAAGACCTGCAATTCTCAAGTCCTGTCCTTTGAGTGTTAACTCCTAAACCCGTCATATTGTGCTCTACATCGGTTTCGACCGGCATGCTTTGCACATTGCAGTAAAGTTTTTTTGCACAAAAAATAAATTACCTTTGACATGTAAAACTTGAAAACTTGTCAGGTGCCACTTTAATAATTGTTTACTCATCTGTTATATTCTGAATATCTCCAATATTTTTTATAAATAATTGTTTTCAGTCTTTCTGTGGTTTTTCACATAATGCACATTACTCTGTCTGCATTCTGTTCTCATGATCTCCTGATATCTACTTTCTGCTGGCTCTAAAGAGATGTAACAGACTCGCTGTAATGCAAAAAAAAATAAAACTTATAAAATAAAACCTATTTCTCTTTGTTTTTTTATGTGTGTCTGTGTATGGGCAATGACTGAGATAGAACCAAAACAAAAAACTGAAACAATAAGCTGAAAGACACTAAAGTGCTCCTCAGCGCGAAGGGGAGCTGTACAGTAGGCTACATTTAATTTTTTTAAAGTGAATTCATCACTATGAGCAATTATTTAACTATTTAAAGGTCTTTTTTAAGTGTTGTTTATATTTCACATCATTAATCAAAATCTGCAAAGTAACTAAAGGTATTAAATAAAGGCAGTGGAGATACGATTTACCTCTGAATTGTAATAGAAGTACAAAGTAGCAAAAGTACAAGCATCTCAAAATTGTAGTTAAGTACGATACTTGAGTAAATGTATTTAGTAAATACCAGTACACCACTGGTATTCCTAGACTCTGGTACTTTTAATCAAGTACATTATCTGAGTACTTCCCCCACCTCTGTACAGAGTCTGTTCCCTAACGTCGCTGCTGTGTGTCCTCCAGTGCTGCGGGGGGCGCTGATCGCTTAATCTTCCCTTCGCTGTCGTTCAGTCAGTGACGTGGATCTTCATAGAGGCAGTCAGAAATCACTTACTACTGTCTTACTTACGTTTCAGAGCCTTTCCACTAACTTTCTCCACCTTTAGGAGTTGGGACCACTCATTTCACTTCCTTCGTGTGTCACAGTTGTGTCACCGCTTTTATAACAGGTGAGCAAATCATGTGAGACGTCAATGTTAGCTCTCTGCTAGTCAGAAGGAACAGCAGTCTGTTTAAATGTGTTCAAAATGCCCTCTTATCAGTGTTTATTTTTCACATTTACTCTACAGCCTCCATAATGAGTAAAAACAGCAAAGTGTTGAACCTGAAGGATAAAATCAATGGGAATGAGGTGGACCTGAGCCTGTGTAACCTCACCGAGGTGCCTGTCAGAGAGCTGGTGAGTTACAATTCGTGTCTCAGTAATTGTGTGAAAATGTTATCAAATTAAACATAAATGTCTTGTATAGATTGTATACATGTGGTGTATCTTGGAACATAATGCTGCCATGCTGTGGTTGGTTGCATGATTTTTGTTTCAATTCGTAATTAAATCTGAATTGACTCGAAACATTTGATTGGTCTGTTATTTATCCCCAACAGGCTTTATTCACCAAAGCAACTGTAGTGGACTTGTCTTGCAACAACATTACATCCCTTCCTGTAAGTACGAACATTAATTATTCACCTAAATACTTAAATCACCATTTGCCTAATATTTAATTATTGTTAAATGTGTTATATCCCTCAATCTTAAACACAACAATTCTAAATGAATTGAGGATGAATTGAATCCATGTTATTATGTACATCCTTGTTAAATGATTTATCGTATGTTAAAGGGTTCTTTTTATGGAGTTTGTTCCAAACCCCTCCGAGGCTCCAAGTTTGGAATTGGGATGCATACATATAAAATTAAAACTGACGTCACTGTATTTTTGTTTTAGCAAATATGATTATAGATGAATATAATGAATAATTACACTTTTTCTAACCTTAAACATAACCTGCAGATTGCCCAGCGTTGTCAATAACAAAGTATGAATATTAAGATTTTAGTTCTTATTACTTTGGCTGCTTTTCCTTCCTGTAGCCAGAGTTCTGCAACCTCACCCACCTGGTGAAGGTGGATCTGAGTAAAAATCAGCTGACCTGTCTGCCAGATGACCTGGGGAACCTGACCAGCCTTCAGCATCTGGACCTGTACAACAACAAGCTGACTGTCCTGCCTGTCAGCTTCTCTCAGCTCAGGGTGGGTGCCACACACTAGCACTGTTCTTGTATCCTAAGTGATAAGGTCACGCCTGGAAGAAGGTCTCAGACTTAAAGCTTGCTTATTTAAAATGTCCTTGTGAAGTTTGAGTGTGCAAATGCTCTTTTTTTATTAAGTTTGCTCGTCTTAAACTCCTGGATTTCAGCTATATCTGATACATAGTGAGCAGTGTGAATATATCAAAAATTATGATGATGGACATTCAAAGACATGAATAGAAGCTTCAAACGACTCAAAGTACATATTCATTAGAGTCATCATTTTATTACGGAGCCCCTAAGTGGACATGGACAAAAGAAAAACGTTCCCATGCTCACAAATTACCAGTGAACACAGGAGGAGGTGGAGCACCCGAGGGAGACCATTATGTTTATGTGTTGAAATGACAGTACAGGAATTATTTAGGTTATATATTTCAAACTCAGACTCCATTTATAGAACATTTCGGCTAGCGCAATAAACTTCAAGATCACAAGATATTTAGTTTTTTCTATGTGTTTAGGGCCTCTGTATGTTATTACCTTGTTGGTTGTAAGAATTTGATGTCCATGGAGACTCAAATGTAGTTCAACTTCACATTCTTAAGTCCACAATATTTTAGGTAGTGTCTCTTGTTTTTGATTTGATCTCTGACAGTATTGCATTGTGGTTGTGTTTGGTCCATTTTTGTTCATTAGAGTTTGAAGTGGTGCGATCTGAAGGATAACCCGCTGGAGGCTGAATTGGCCAAGGCAGCAGGAGACTGTCTGGACGAGAAGCAGTGCAAACAGTGTGCCTCCAAGGTGAGAGACGGAGAGATTAACGCTGAAACGCTGAAAAGTTGAATTAGGCAGTCTCTCTCTAGTATCTTAAACCAAAGACATTTTCTTCCAGGTCCTGCAGCACATGAGAGAACTTCAGGATGAGGTCGATCGTGCACGAGAGAAACGCCTTTTGAGGGAAAAAGGTGGGTGTCAGGACATCTCTTTATTTCAGCCTCAAAATGTTTTCAACATTTTCATCAACTGGCATTAAACGTTCACTCAGATTTGTAGTAAAGAAAAACAGCTAAAACTCTGGTATCATTTATGACATGCCGTTTTGATCAAAGTGTTCGACACAGTCTCATTCACATCAATAAAAGTGGGAATATTGCAGAACAAATAAAAGTCCTACATTCAAAATCCTACTTGTGCATAGCAAATTCTACTAAAATCACTTGTTCCACCACAAAGATTATTAATAGTTGCCTCCATTCTTTATAACACTTCCTTCAATCAGGGCTGGAGAGGAAGAGGGAGGTGAAGCAGAAGGATCGGGAGGCCAAAGAAAAGGAGGCTCGTAAACGGGAGAAGGCGGAGGAGAAAGAGAAGAGGAGGAAAGAGTACAACGCTCAGAAGGCGGCCATGGCTGCAACAGAACAACAGAAGAAGAAGAACGAGGAGAAGAAGAAAAAGAACGGACTAGCAGCAGGTGAGATAATGCTTTTGTTTAAGGTTCTACCACCAAACCTGAGTGAGAGCCACACAAGCACACAATTAAGTAAATATATATAGACAATCGCTGGTCGTAAAGTAAGCAAAAAAAATCATCTCATAAAAGTGTGGTGTAAAAGAATCTCAAAGTATGTCGTAAAAATGTACTTAAAAAATATCCTAGTGTAGCATAAAGGAAATAACCAACTTCATGCAACATAATAAAAGCATCTAACTGTTTTTTAGGATATGAAGAACTTTCGAATATGAAAAGTACAAGCGTGTGCTAAAATAAAATGTATTTCTTTTGAATCCATACAAGTCTGTGGTTTGATGATACTAAAGACAGTTTAAATAGAATCAGCATTGAAGCACTCGAGCATGATTCATGTCCCCACACTGTAGGCAAGGATGGACTTTGTGATAAGCATAGATATCATTTTGGGAAATGTTGCATTGATAATATTGGTGTTTAACAGCTGACTCTCAAATATCAATTGTGATGGTTTGTGTATTTGGTTGATGATAATGCGAAAGCCAGGTTTAAATCTTTCAAAGTAGTTTTTTTTAAAGGATTTGTTCTTACTCACTGCCTCATCTCAACAGATAAAAAAGCTGCTGAGAAAACAGCGCCCAAACCCAGACGTTCTCTGATTGGCCTGGTGTTCAAGCTCCTCCTCCTGCTGCTGACGGGATTGGCTGGAGTCGCAGCCGCCTGCCGCCTGACCGACCTGAAGAAGGAAGCCATGTGCGTGCCGGTCAACGTCGCTGTGGACGACGGCCTATCCTGGGCCAAAGAGCAGGAGGGCGTGGTCCGGCAGCTGGTGCAGAATCTGTCCTCTGCAGCAAAGGAGTTTCTTGAATCAACACAAGCATCTAAGAACTAAACTCTCCTCTGCCACCATCAACTCACAGAGCTGCAGGGTTTCCTCTCCCATCTGTGAATCCTGGGATTTTTTTGTACATGCTCAATATCATTAAGATGTGCAACCCTGCATCCCCTCACCCTGTTTGGTGTGTTGGGAGGTTCAGATAGACAAAAGGGGGATGGACACGTGATGAAATCGTCTTAAATTCCTATGGAATTGTTGTCATTCTTGTACCCTCTTTGTACTACAGCCTGTTTTTGTAAAAAAAAACGTACAGCGAATGTCAGGCGACCCTGTCTGTGCTGCACTGGAGTGCCGGGTCACATGATAGCTGCCAGTCAGAGTAGTGCATGAGCTGGTGTTACACGTGGCCGTCTGAGCATGTGCAGTGGAAGCTTTCTGTGGCCTCCTCTGTTTTTTAAAGGCTAAAATCAGTTCAACCCGATCACACAGCTTTCACAATGGGCCTCATGCACAAACCAAAAACACAAAAATTCTGTTTTTATTTTGTATCCATGATTAGTTTTTATTTAGTTAGTACCCAATGATTTCCGAAATTCGACAATTTGAGAGCGATCTAAAACAAGATAAGAAAAAATTGATTGATTTTTATTTTTTTTATTTTTAAGTAATTATAATATCATTGATTCAACCCAGACTTCAGAAACCCTTTGGATTATGATATTTGCATTTGTTTATAATACTGTCAACTTTCTTCAAGTAAAATGTTCATTTAACAGTACCTTGTACCGCCTTGCTTTGGTAGGATCTCTAACTGTTGGGCGTGTGCCAGAGTATTTGCACACGTCACAACAACTGCCCTTATGGTGGGCGTTACCTATGCTAAGAATATGAAATTGGCAGCACGCCTAAATCATGATCGAGTGGGATTCATTATTCAGCGCATCTAAGTACAATCGGATTTGGATGGTTAGGAATGTGTTTTTCCTATGGAGTTTTTTTCCTCTTAACAGAAATTAGTGTTGATGCGTGAGACCAAATGTGACTGATTCATGAGCCTTTAATCATGACAGTATTACAGCATATGAGTGAATAACGGCCAATTTACAGCAGTACAACAATTCAAAAATATATGTTTGAGGTCATTTAGACACAGTGTTGTCAGCAATTTACAATTATTCTCAATATTATTTAATCTGCAGATTATTTGCTTGATTTATTATTTGGTTATCAAGATTTCTTTAATGTTTTAAGTTTTCGATATAAAAATAAAAGCAACATTTTTGGCAGGCTGCATCTGCTGCTGTGCTTCTTGTACAGCTTTGTCCATGCTCTCAAACATTGTCCTCGATAATAAATGGCTATGCACTGCAACAAATATTTGGGTCTGTTTTTATTACTAGAAAATAAATTGAGTTGAGTTAGACTAGTTAGGACTTGTATTCAAAATGTGATTAATTGACAATGACTAAAGGGTGTAATAATGTTTTGCTTAAACGGAACCTACAGGATTAGGTTTTTAGTTTTGTTTAGTTGCTTGTACAAAAAAAGGCACAATGCAGTATGACTTGTTACAAGCTGGCTCTGCTTGTAACATAAGGACAACAGTTCCACACAGGAGTTGCCCAAAACAAGTATTTATTTAACCCAACACAGTGGTTACAACCAACAATAAAACAAACAGAGGAGCGGTGTCCTGGTNACCCCTTTAGGTCATTTAGATGTATGAATACATGTTGATTCTGCACAGAGCACGCTAGAATGTACACCCAGGGTAATGAGTGGCGCGAATCACTCCGCCTCTCTCTCTCTCTTTTTCCCTGTGAACACCCTGAAGAAGCAGAGACATAAGTTGAGAAGCTCCTAGTATAGTAATAGTATTTAAAAAGTGTTATTTGTACTCTCAACTATATCAGTTGACAAACTCTGACCTGCAAGGACCCCTGTGTGAACCCGAACTAGAAGACGACAAGGCGGAGTGATTCGCGCCACTCATTACCCTGGGTGTACATTCTAGCGTGCTCTGTGCAGAATCAACATGTATTCATACATCTAAATGACCTAAAGGGGTCTAGTAGCCCTATATTTCATATGGGTTACATCCTCCCCCCTTGACTCAGCATGAGTCCCTTCATGCTCTGAAATCCCATAGTCTCCAATGGCATTGAGTGTTTGATTAAAGCTGTCCAAGAGACTTTGTGCAAAGGAGATCAAAGGTTTTACCAACTTAGAGTAATGAAGACGGTCAGGTGGTTGCCGTGACCGCTCAGATTTTCGTGTAGTTATTTGTTTCTCCACTGGTCACATTTCTATCCTCTTCCTCATCAACTGTCTCAGAGGTTGGTGCATTTTCCAACTTGGCATTCGGCTGGGCCTCAACAGCATCACCGTCTTTAGGATCCTTGAGGTTTAATGCATCATCTTCCTCATCATTGTCCTCAGCATCAGCTGGAATTTCATTTGTCACATCCGGTAAATTTGTTGGGAAGTACTCAACCATGATATCTGATATCTCTCCATCAACCATCTCAGGAGATGCTCCAACAGAATCTGCAGGTAACTCAGGACAACCACTCATGCAAAGCTCATCCTGAGGCTGAGAGGTCAAGGAGGTCGTTGGCATGGCTGGTAAACGCTCACAATTGTTTTCTGAAGTAGCAGTTGCTTGCGGTGTCCTTGGAATGTCAAATACTTGAGTAAAGCTTTCCTTGGGAATGGAAGACCACTGAGCAGGACAGTAACATGAGTGGTCCTCAGACTCCGAATGTTCATCCAGAACCTGGGGTTGACTACTCCTGGTTCTTGGCTTGTGGGCTTTTGGTATGACTTGTTCAGTTTCTTCCTATTCGGAAAGGTTTCCACATGGAAGCAAGAGATCTCTATGTAGGGTTCGGATGGGACCATCTCCACTCATGGGCTGACCTGTGTAGACAGGCATGGGCGTAATTTCCACTGGGGACAGGGGGGACATGTCCCCCCCACTTTTCAAAATCCCGTTTGTGTCCCCCCCACTTTTCAAATGTGTTTTTTTTTTTTACGCAAGTGGTCATCGTCACGGAGGAGCGTCTGTTTGTGTGTGTGGCAGGAGCGCAGTTTGTGTGTGAGAGAGAGAGAGACAGAGAGAGAGAGACAGAGAGAGTTACAGGGGTTGTTGTTACTATCTGGTGCTAGCTCGGAGCTAACGGAGATTAGAAGGTTTTTCAACAATAATGAGAGGGAGAGTCCTCTCCTGTCGGACTGAGAGGCTGAGATAACGTCAGCTCAGGGAGGTAAAGGACTCGCTGAGTGATTGTAAACTTTAGTTATCTCAGTGGGTCCCAAACGGTTTGGTCTAAACAAATATTTCCATCTATTTAATATAGTTGTTCAAAATAAGTTAAAAAATAATTCCAATGACAGTAAAAAATTAAAAACACAGTTTTAAAGGGAAGTGATAAGTAAAATATGCATAAATAAAAAGAAAGAATGCAGACTAGGTAAGATAAAGATAGGAGAAAGGAGTTGATCAATGATGTGTTATTGGTTGTGAGCATATTCTAATGGTTTTTGGAGTATTGAAATATATACAGTTCTGTTTCATATGAGTGTTGAGAGTTGTATCCATAAATCTTTTAATTTGTGCACCAGATTGATGCTTTACCTTCAATTTAAAGAAAAAAATCTTACCGGGGGTGCATGCCCCCAGACCCCCCTGAGGTAATCACAAATAAAACAGGTTCATGGATAGATAAGTTTGCACACTCATTATATACACTACACATTTTTCTTGGATTAGTTAACACCATAGTCCCTAATATATATTTGTAGAAAGGCAAGAAATGGAATTAAATAGAGAACAATGTTTCATTGCGGAGGACCCCCTGTTTTGTGTCCCCCCCTCTTCTCAAACCAAAGTTACACCCTTGTAGACAGGTAGATCTCCCATCCTTTTCTGAACTTTATACATAGTGGATTCCCACTTATCTGAAAGCTTGTGTTTGTTTAGCAAGCGCAAGTTCCTTACTAGCACTCGGTCACCTTCCTCAAGTGTTGATTCTCTTACTGCTTTGTCATAGCGAAGTTTGTTCCGCTCAGCAACCTTCTGCGAGTTCCTTGTGGCGATCTCATAGCTTTCTTGAATACGTGCTTTCAAGTTTCTCACATACTGGGACTGAGATTTAGGACCACCATTTTTAACAGGTAGAGAAAACACAATGTCCACTGGTAGCCTTGGTTGGCGTCCAAACATCAGCTCATACGGAGTGAAACCGGTAACATCGTTCTTGGTGCAATTATAGGCATGTGTGAGGGGCTTAACATAATCACGCCAGTGACTTTTCTCTTTCTCTTTTAAGGTTCCCAACATACCAAGGAGGATTCGGTTAAACCGTTCCACAGGGTTTCCCCTAGGGTGATAGGGACTTGTGCGCACTTTGGTGATACCAGCTAGAGTGCAGAGCTCTTTGATTAGTTGCGACTCGAAGTCCCTGCACTGATCACTGAGCAGACGCTCCGGAAACCCATAATGCACCAAGTACTGCTCCCAGAAGCACTTTGCGACTGTTGTTGCTTTCTGATCTTTTGTGGGTATGGCGACAGCATACTTTGTATAATGATCTGTGATAACCAAGATGTCTTTTGTATTGTGACTGTGAGGCTCCAATGATAAATAATCCATGCACACAAGTTCCATGGGACGAGTTGTTTGGATATTTACAAGCGGTGCTGATTTTTCTGGTGGTGTTTTTCTTCTGACACAACGTCCACATGACTTGATTTTGGTTTCCACATCTGCAGCCATTTTAGGCCAATAAAACCTTGACCTGACAAGGTCAATAGTTCTATCCAAACCCATATGCCCCATATCATCATGAAGGCAAGTGAGAATGGTTGACCTCAAAGATTTTGGAACAACAAACTGATAGGCGATATCATCGTCTGATCGTCGGGTTCTGTAGAGGAGACCATTCCTCAACTCAAACCGCTTACATTCTTTGAGCATTATCTTCAGCTCCAAAGAATTATGATTGAGTTTGGGATTTGCTTCACCTCCAGCCTCTAACAAGTTGATGACATGGATCAGACCTCTGCAGACGCTGGAGTTCTTCCTCGTCGTAGGTAGGTATGGTGAAACAACCTGCAGCCTCCTCATCTCCGTAGATGTCTGGCACTGCTTCTGCATGAAGAGCAAGGGATTCTACCAAGGTGATAGAAGGAAGGTTGTTGTCAGCTTCATCTAAGAGATGGCGGTGACACAAGGCATTGACTGTGTCGACTGACAGATCTTGTTGTTCAGGAGATGAAGACAGGTGGTGTGAGGAAAACTGTTTCATCCGCTCTTTTTCTTCCACAGAAACAGGGTCATCAGCCAGAGGGTCATGTGGCCGTCTAGATAAACCGTCAGCATCTTGGTTGCTTTTACCAGGGCGGTACTTGATGTTAAAGTCAAAGGTAGATAAAGCAGCTAGCCAACAGCATCAAGTTTGGCTGACTTCAGGACATAGGTTAACGGATTGTTGTCCGTTATGACTGTGAACATGTTACCATATAGGTAGTCTTGAAACTTCTCCACAATGGACCACTTAAGGGCCAAGAACTCTAATTTATGGGCTGGGTACCGCTTTTCGCTCTGTGAGAGCCCTCTGCTTGTATATGCGATGACTCTCATTTCACCCTCTTGTTCTTGGTACAATGCAGCTCCTAACCTAGAAGTGCTTGCATCTGTGTGGAGAATGTATGGTAACTGTGGATTAGCAAATCCAAGCACTGGTGCAGAAGTAAGCTTTTCTATGATTGACTCAAAAGTGTCACGCTCCTAAGTTCATGTCACGGTTGTAGTTTTGTAGGTTTGGGTGTTTTTGCTTTTTTCCATGTCATGTTTTCCTCTGGGTTATTGTCTGGTCCTTTTCCCTGTGTTTTTCCTCTTGTCATTAGTTCCCTGGTGTGTCTAGTCATCTGATTGTGTTCACCTGTGGCCCTTGTGTTTCTCCTCCCCTGCCCAGCTGTTTCTTGTCCTGTGATTACCCTTCTGTGTATTTAGTCTTGTCTCCTCCTGTGTTCAGTGTTGGTGCTTCTTTTGTGTGTGACATAGTTCACCGTAGAGTGTTTTGTTTGCTTAAGTCCTTGAAATAAAGGTTTTGTCAAGTGTTATCTGTGTTTGGGTCCTACCTGCTTCACTCTGCGTATCAACATGTCAATGTCCTCTTTTTACAAGACATGCACAGCGACGTTTTTAATGAGAAAGGAGTGGGAGGGGGAAGTCATTTTAAGCCACAACACCTCTCTCATTGGGGGGGTGGCTTCCTCCTCTCCAAGTCTTTTAATCCTGTCTCACTGGAGGTCGAGCATTTTATCAATGGGAGGTTGCTTTTAATAAAAGCACGGTTTGACCTTTTTACAGTTGTTTTTATAAATGTGTATGCACCAACAAACGGTGCAGAGAGGAAGCTGTTTTTACTCAAAGTTAATGTTTTAACACTTTGTGCCACGGAGGATTTTTTTATACTTGATGTGGTGTAATTTTAATTGTACAGGAAAATAATCTTTAGATCGCAACCCCATGCAGAGCCGCAATCCAGCATCCCCAGCATGCTCTGGAGGCAGCTGGTCCACTCCCACGGCCTGGTGGATGTTATGGAGAAAGGATGCAACGGCAGACAACAGGCAGTACACCTGGTTCCACATCAGAGAGAAATATAATCTCATCAGCTAGACTAGATTGTTTTATTGTTTTAAGCATCATTTTTACACTTTAAAATGTGCAGGGCATATATCACCTGCTGGTTTCACGGATCACTCTATTCTTTTATGTAATTGTTCTTTAATGAGTAAAATTGTTTACCAGAAGTGCATATTGGCATTTTAAACTCGGTTATTTAAACATGTTGTTGCATAACATTTTAAAGATGGCCCCTTGTTTTATTTCTGGTTCTTTGTGATTTTTAGGGCAGGAGGAAGGGAGATTTTAGCAGTCTTAGGCAGTGGTGGGACCATGGTAAGGACTGGAGAATAAGATTGCTCTGCAACGGCACACCCTTCAATGTCACAACAAGACATTCATTAGATCTATAAAGACCTGTGAGGAGTGATATAGTGGAACTAGAATACCAATAGTGAGACCCCACTTGACGATCGAGGATATATTATGAAATCCTCAAAGAGAAAAAAATGGCTTTAGCCACCACTCGCCTGCGACGTAAAGTTCAGGGCTGCACTAGTCAGGCCGTTTTCTCAACACCAAATGAGATGGATTGCTCCCACTTAGCTTCTTCTTCGGACCTGAAGAGAAAGAATGTCCGCAGAGGCGCAGTGAACTCCACTCAACTGCTGTCAGACACAGCAGGAAAATAACAGGAGCCCAGCCAGACTCAGGAGGCGATCTGTGAGGCTTTTTTTCCACCCTCTACACAAGCAAGTATGACGACAGAGGGGGAAACTCTGTCCGAGGTGGTTCTGGCCGGACACCTACGCACGGTCTCCGGAGGGGACCCAACTCAACAGCCATCGAAGCGGCCGTTAACTGATCCAGGAGTTGCAGTACCGCCCTGACATGCGCCTATGCATGGTACGGACACGGCGCGTCACTGGTTACTTCGCTGGCTGCCCTTCGTATACTTGAGCTTTTATAAAGCTCTACTGGGACGTCTCTCTCCACCATCTGTCTCTTTACAGGTATCTTATGTATTCTGTGTTCTTCTGTCTCTATGTCTTCTTGTCCTGCAGAAGACATTAGCCTCGTGTGATCAACGCTATGCTACCAAATTAAATCAGTGATATATGCTTGCAGGATCATTCTAATAAATCTCGGCCCTGATGTCTTGCTGTGTGTGATTACATCACAACTTTCTGTTCCAAGTGCTTTGCCACAGACTGGGGACGGCTGTGCGAGCATGGCTCCACGCGGATCCACCTACTGGTGCCCTGGCAGTTCCCATGGTGGTCATTTTGTCTATATTCTGTTGATTGTGTGTGTCTGTCTCTATGTCTGTCATTTATATCTGTTGCTCTGTATTTCTCTCTGTGTATTCTGTAAAGCTGTTTTGATTCGCGTTGTAGCACAAAGTCTTCCTCTGGACAGCTAAGTGGAGAAGTTTGGCGTTTCAGCGCTGGTTTCATTTAGCCAAGATCAGGGTTCTTACATAAATTGAAGATTGGTGTGCTGTAATTTCAAACGGGTGGGCTGTGTGTCTAGTGTGTATGTTCTGAGATGGCCGGCTTAGCTGGTCTTGTGCTCTAGTCTGGGCATGCTCTGTCTCTCTTCTCTCTAGTATATAATTCTCCTATCCTCAACAAAATACGCTCCAATTATATTGTTATGTGTGTCTGTTTTATATACTCTGTTGTTTTATGTGATTGTCTATTGGTCTAGCCATCATTGTCGTGTTATGTTTTTCTTCTCCGTCTTATGTATGATCCTATTTATGTGTATGTATTCATTATGAACTATCGTGATTGACTTGTTTATGTTTTTTCCAATAGTCTTGCTCTGGTCGTCGAGTGGAATTGGAGAGATAAAGGTAGCCCTCTCGCTGTCGTGAGTGGGGTGGTCCCCAGTTTTCTCTATGTATATATCTTATGATTATTATTCTGTATATATGTATGTGTGTCTATATATGTTTCTCTTCTGTGTGTGTGTCTGTGTGTATATCACATATGTCCTGTAATGCTGTATGGAGAACTCAAGTGATATATGTATAGAAGGAAAGCTCGATCCAATGTAAGTATGGCTGCTCCTTTCTATATGTCTTTTATTGATTGTTGCGTGTTGGGTTTTAAACAACCTCTGTGGCATACCAAAACTGAGTGGCACCGTCCAATTACCTGTTGGGACCCTCCTCAGGCTTACTTGGCCCCGATAAACAAAAGGAAATTGGGTAGATTTATTTTGGGAGGTCTACACGGGTGCCTACAGGGTGTGCTGTTTTTAATCTTAGAGAGGAGGGGGACTTATCCACCTGCTCAGCTCAACCCACCGATAGCCACTTCCAGTTAGACTCACTTTCTTTTCACAGAGTATCTAGACCAAGCCCAAATGCTGATCTTGGTGTGAGACGATGTGAGCAGTGGCGATCGCCGATCCTTGTCGATTCCTCCCGACGCATACACAGTGAGTACACCTGCGCGCGCCCCTGGACTGCTGTCTCTGTTTACTCTTATTAAAAAATGATCAATACAGTTCTTAAAGACTTAAAGATGCATTTCAGTGACCTTTCCTCCACTCTCTCCTCACCTCTATTCAGGCGTGTCTGTAAATCTATGCGGCCTTTTAATCATAAAAGAGTGATCCAAGCATCCTGACCTCTCTTACTGGTTGTCTCAAGGCCAAGACCTACCTGATCTCACAAAAAGCACCACAGGTTGGACGTCCCACGCAAGCTAGCAGATACATCCTCGGTCCCCTAACCTGTCACCATATCCCTGGTTGCGCTAGTGAACCGATACCAAGACCCTGTGGTACTACTCAGCACGACCATTCGGATAAATGCAGATAGACCCAAGTGGCGCGCGCAGAACTGACTGATGCCCCGGTGCCACGTGAGGCTGCTTCTGCCGCTGTGTCTGGCCTCTTGATCCGGACTCACATAGGTGGCCAGACGCAGGCTCACTTGACCACTTCTGGAGCAAGTCCTCTCCCCTGATGAACAAAAAGACTCAATTCTAGGAGCTACCGTGCACAGGGAAGGCCACGCCGAGATCCCGCATACCCTCTTCCCGGAGACATCACACACCCCTACCTGAGCACCCAGAGCTCAGGAAAACTGACCGGTCCCTCCTGCTCTAAGGTCGACCAAACCCGGCAAGGACAAACTGACACTAACTCCAACCAAAGCTGACAAGAACACCCAACAACACGATAAATACCTAGACCCATGTTATAAAGCAGCAACCAACACACAAATGCTGCTGACATAAGGACAGAGCTCCACGGTGTGAGCACCATACCGGCTCTCAGGAGGCCGACCGGCCAACACAACAAAGTGCGGAATATTTAGACCACCCTATACAAAACCTCCCATTAAAAACGTAAACTGCCGAACCTCCAGTGGAGAATTTTAACCACTGGCTCGCCATCCTCGACAACAACAGTGTATTTCTTTTATCTAATTGATCATATCCTCTGTCTGTTTTTAACCACAGTGTCCATTCCCACCAAGATGTGATGTCTTGATATCAGTGATCAACCTATCAAATCAGACAACAACCAATCACTGTTTTCCATGATGTTCTTCCCTCGCACCCAGCCTCTGCAACAGAGATGAGGGTTTTTATTTTCTTAACGACAATAGCAGTGCTCCTATTCTCCCCACGGCACCGTCGCATTCGGGGACCCCCACTAACAGTGGCCACTTTTGCATGATAGGTCCCCTTTAATGTGAGAACAATGCACGTGAGACTATAGGATCGCCTTGAATATCCTCTCTTTAAGTCCCAACAACTCTCGACAAGCTTCTTATTTTCCGATTGTAATACTCAGATGAAATCAACTTCCTTTTCATTTACATCTTTTTGCGAAAATCACAATCATCCATGCAAATTACTGAACATCCCAATTGACAGCACTCCTTGATGCGTCTTATTTTTAACATAAGTAGTCAGATTCAAAATAATATTTCTTACATATCGTTTACCAGCATCAATTTTCAACTATAATTAACTTCACTCTTACTAGAGCTGAAACCAACTAGCCCACTAGATAGCTTTATATAAATATGATTACTTGTTCCTTCGGAAGCCATGTCACTTCTCCTTCTACCGTGCTATGTAAGTCATCAAAAGAGAAAATATGTTTGTCTGCATTTATCATCTTAGCTAAGACCAATTCAAACTCTAGATTCACATGTTATTCCCCTCATCTTTACACTGGCATTCGAGTTCTGTGTTCTACTGCAACAGAGACACACTAGTGAGGTACCACACCTTGTCTCTCTTACGCATCTGCCAACTTCTGAGACCTCAGCTTGAAGATTTACAGCTTAAAGCCTCCCTAAATACCCTATCGCTCTCCACACACCCATTACCTCATACATATAGATAAATGGCATTTTAGCAGCCAGATGGCTCCCCACTCCTAAGTCTCGGACTTGAGTCGCGCACTGTTGTGGTAGTGTGTGTCGTGTCGTAGCTCGTGTCGTGATGTGCATGCTGTTGCTCGTGATGCTAGATGTGATGTTGCCACAAAAATATGACTAGTGCAAAACAAAAAAATCGCTAGTGTGTGATGTAGTAGCAATAAGTGTGTGTGTGTGTGTTGTAACCAAACATCCTCAAAATGTTAGATCCCTGCCATTGATTGCTGCGATCACACCACCATAAATCCACACATCTTACACCCCAACCCCCATACAAACCAGCCTCTCTAACAAAACACACAAACAATGTGTGCTGTCTGTTGTGTGTGAACAAACACCCAACAATGATGACTCTCCCAATATGTGATGTAAAGAACATCAAACACCTCCACTTCTAAAAAGATGCCTCAAAATTCCGTGTGTGTGTGTGATTGTGGGTAGTGGCGCATTAAGATAAATAAACCTTGCTTCATCCTCCCATGACAAACTCGTAACCCATTACCGTCACATCAAAGAAACAACGATTCATGTCTCGACAGCTTATTTTGTCAGGAACAACCAAAATCAGATAGACATATTACATTGGCCTTCTTTACATTCTTTAAAAAAAACATGAAAAAAGCACCATTTCTCATATACAAATGTTGTAGCAGTCTATATTCCACTAGTTCAAAAATATTTCATATTAGATCCGATGATTGTCATTCAATCTTTCGTCACATCAATAAACCACAACATGCTGAACTAGTCATATCATACACACACTACTCTTACTAGTTCCCACGCAACCCGTATGCCTTAACGAATACGTTATCCTACTACTTCACTGACCAAGGAAATACACGCCCTCAATGTACTGTAGACACTCCTCTGATACATCATACTATCTAATGCCCATATAACCATCTGCAAACACTCCTCATATTCTGACAACAGCCATAAATGCCATTCTACTTCTCTAAGGTGTACAAAACCGACTTTCGCTTCTTCTTGCACAGGCCAATGTCCTGATTCTCCAGATCGGTTAAGTTACAGTGAGACTAAAT